GAGTCATTTAACAGACTTTACTGATGGGATGTGTGAACAAACTGAATGTTTACATGATGAATAAACAAACATGAACAAAGTATTTTCTTCTTGTCTTCATTCCAGGGTTTCATACAAAGCTGATGGAGAAAATATGAAACTAATATGAGAGAATAACTGAGTCAGTTTTCCTCCTGAAACACCACAAAGTACAGAGTTCATGTTTAGAGCAGAAGAGCATTCATCAGTCATTCTCTGTCCTTTAAACTTTCCTCACTGAAACATCTTTGTAACAGAGAAATGAGCAGATATATAATATACATCATAGTAGAGAACTCAATGCAGTTTCAAATCTAATTTAATATTTGTGGAACTTTTATAATGGTCAGAAAAATAGAAAAGGATGCAATTGGACCAGGTCTCGATACCAAAATCTTCTAACACTTCGTTTTGTTTAACATTTAGACTAATAGGCTACTGTTTACAACAACTTTTATATTGTTTAACGTTGTGTAGCTTATTTAAAGTTAGTATATTGTAAAAACAGAAAATCCAGACCACATTGAACCAATCCCGGACTGGATTAACGTTACATTTATTACAGAAACTCAGGTGAAACATTGACAACCTCAGCAACAGTTATTTTTTTCCCGCCACAAGATGGCGCCCAGGCGCTGTGCTGTGTTTTGTGTTGTGTGTGTTTTTTTGAAGATCCCTCCCCGACGGAGGCTGACCTCTTCCCAGCGATGACAGTTTCCTGCCGGCTGGGTCGAGGAGGACTCGGCCGCCCCCTCACAGCGGGATGTGCTGAAGGGGAAGACAGGGTTATCTGAGTTTGAGCTGCTCGGTATGCCGTGGACCGGGCTGGTGGAGTGAATTTTTTTGTACTTTCTTTTTTTTTCAGGGAACAGCGAATGTCGCAGGTGGATACCGGTGAGTGTTGATGCGTATCATAGTATAAGTAGTTTTATTCCCGCGGGTGTTTGGTTTACGCAGTGCTGCTGGTGAAGTCCGAACCTCCCCCGATACGTGTCACTTTGTGGAGAGAACGTCACGACGGGTTCCGTTTAAAAACCACCTCCATTAAGCGTTGACGGGCCCAAAGGTCCACATTTACGCACCGACTCCAAATATTGAAGTACATTTTGGATTAAGTAGGATATTCTGTTCTATTCGGCATACATAGAACCGAACCAAACAACACTTATTTCAGTGGAAACTCTACTTTCATAACCGCCTCACACTTGACGTTGCCGTCCACGGCGGTGTGGTTATGGTGGCTGAAGATTGCGGGGGAAACGGATGAAGCACTTCTACAAAAAAAGTTGAAATTCCACAAAATAACTGTCGTGTAGCTGTATGGGATGTATGCCGAATTAAAGAGTACTTCTAAACGCGTCGTAATCTGTAGTTAATTCTAATTGGTCACGCTCGTAATGTTTGCAGGGATAAAGGTAACTCAAAGGTATGATGTTGGCGAAGGAGTTTCGTGTGACGTCCTCAGGGCAGACACCACAACAGTTCAGCCTGTTTCAATGTGCTCTGATAGCATTTTGAAGAATGTATTTTTTTTTAATGTATTTAAGTAATCTTAGTTCTAACGTGGAGCAGTGTGGGTGGTTTAGTTATTTACATGTTAACCAACTTTTTCACTGCCTACTTGTTGAAGAGGATTTACTGTAACATGGAGCCTCTGGGAAGGCCTTCCATTTATCTATGGTATCCTCTTAATATACCAATATTTATATACATTTAATATTTACACTGATCACTCTGCTTGCTACCTTACAAATTGTATTATAATGTTTTAAACTTAATTATTATATATTTGTTTAAGTATTTACTCTTGGAACAAAGACTGGTAGTTCTTTAGTTCACATGAAATGAACTAATTTTATATTTTATACACAATGTAATATTCATGAGGCTCAATAGTTGGCTGTTTGATTCTTTGTGACGCTTAATGTTGTTGTGTTCCTCGGGGTATAAGAACAGCATGTCTTGCATGCAGGCTGGATGCTGCAACTTTCTAAGTCGCTGTGTGTGTGATGAGACACAAACATTTGTTGTAAATGTCCTTCCAGGTGAGAAATGACTAACAGGATGGAGGGTTCGGCGGGACCCATCGCGGCCCCCAGCAGCCCCGTGAGGTCCACCATAGGCCCGCCTCTGCCTCCGCAGGAAGAGCCCCAGTCGTCTTTGACGGACATCACCCAAATGTGGATGAAATTCGGCAAGACCTTCGCCATCATCCTCCCGATCTACATCCTGGGATACTTTGAGTTTAGCTTCAGCTGGGTCCTGATAGGGCTGGCCATGTTGTTCTACTGGAGGAGGAACTACGGCGGGAAGGACTACAGGATAAACCGAGCCTTGGCGTTCCTGGACCACGAGGAGAAAGCAGTGAGGCAAAGTGTGCCCATGTCCGAGCTGCCTCCGTGGGTGAGTCCTCCAGCGTTATCGCCGTCTTGTCGTTGTTGGTTTGTGTTTGGACTCATTTCTCGGGCTTCGATCCCTCCCTTTGGTGTTCTTCCAGCCAGCATCACGCCTGGGATGTCAGCGTTGACTGTTTGCCGGCCCTACGCCCTTTTTGAGTCATTCAAATGAAAGGATCAGCCCAAAAGGAAGCTTTTGCACCACTTAATACATGTCGCAGCTATGACTAACACTCAGCTTCTCATGAGATAGGATTAGGATGTTGGACTTATTTTATTGGTGTGGGGGCGGGGGGGGCGGGACGCTATTTTTAGGCAGCGCAGCTGACAACAAATAGAGAAAATTGAGCAGCTAGATACTCCGAAATGTCCAGCAATGTGAGACCATATTACTTGTGAATTAATAATCTGCAACAGTCTCTGGAAGACTTTTCTCAGACGGTCCAGAGGTGTTTATAACGATCAATATAACGACAATCAAGTATAAAAGGATGCACACAAGTTACTACAAGGACTTTAACTGGTTATGGTTAACAACCTTTAACTGGTTATGAAACGGTTTAATGCTGATGCCTCTATCTGACTGAGAGACGCAAACAAGACCATCAGCAAGAATATTAGCCTTTTCTAAATCTGCACTCTTAATGCCAGTGATCCGCAAAAATAAGCCGGTTCATCAGAAGCTCCTTCAGCTCAGACTCTAGCAGAGACCGGTCCACTGTGGACAGACCCTGATCCTCCGGAGGGAGGAGGAGAGCTCAGCTCCCTGCAGCAGCAGCGTCTCCGCCTCCTCCTCCAGGAGCAGAGCTTCTCCTTTCTGGGAGCCAACACCGACACCACGCTGCTGGACGTATTGCTGGACCCGCTGGAGGGAAGGGAGGTACGGGAGAACCAGGACTGAGAGGAGCAGACTGTCAGACCCTATTGCAGTAAAATGAGAGGTTTTCTAAAAGTTCCTTGTAGTAACTTTAATGTGTTTGATTTTTAAAATAGCCTTTGGAAAGGTCACACATTCTGCACACAAGCTGCCCATCACTTCCAGGATGTAATCAGAGCTAGACTCTTTAAAAAAAATTATAATCATTTAAATCCTGTTAAGCACTCAAAGGTGTTGGAACCGTCAGTGAATAATTTACATTTGGCCCTTGAGTCCCTGGGGCTCTTGAGGCTGGCCCCGTTAAAGCAGCAGAGCCATCAAACCTGCTCTACTTTTCTCTTTCTGTGTTCACCCTCCTGGTGTGGTTGCCTGTTTATGTGCACTAAGCTCCCAGTGACACAGAATATCAGACCACTGTGAGCACACGCCTTCAACATAGCTGCCATTCTCTCTCTCTCTCTCTCTCTCTCTCTCTCTCTCTCTCTCTCTCTCT